TACATTCACTATTCAGGAAAGAGAATATTTAATTTATATATTTATATATATATATTTATATATATTATATTATATATTATATATATATAATTTTTTTTTCCCAAAAATTCAGAAGCAATTCAGTCCAATCTAGTTTCAATAGTAAATTGTAAAGGAAAATGACATTTAAAGTAAAATATAAAGTACAAGCGACCTGAAGGATGGCTATTGATTTTACATTTCCTTATTATGAGTTTATAAAAACGTAAGTGAATAAAAAAGGTGCCCACTAATCAGCATTAAACCATGTTAGACAGAAAAAGATCTACTTCATCTAGTGAAAGAATACTTTAGTATTTTAGGTAAAAATATATTCTTAGTTGTTAAATACATGGAGTAATTTATTCTCAACCTAATACTTCCAAATCAATAAATACTAATCTTGCCTATAAAATATGCTGCCAGAGGACTTGAAAAGGGTTTGCTTTCCTTAAATCAGTTTGCCCCTTACAATTTGCTTGCCTGTTCATTTTCTTGGCTAGTACGGTTATCATTAGGATCAACTTCATTTCCTTTTTCATTTAATGATCACAAAATTTAAATGAATAGTCGTAATCAATGTCATAGGTTTTACAGTATCCTAAGAAGTTGACCTCATTTTAAATTGAATATTGTTGCTGCAAGAAGAGTGGCCAAAATGCACAGGACCCTAAACCACTGGAAGAATGTACTTGGAAGGGACAGAAGATAGTGTGGGACTTCAGGTTGGGATAGTGGTTTATAAAATAAAGCTTACAATCTAAATTCAACATCACATAGCTAACAAAAGTAAAACTAGTACTGAAATTCTTCCCCTTCCTTAAATTCTAATGGAAATAAATGTAAATTTCTAGTGTTTTCAAACTCCTCATACTCTTTAACAGCACACTGAATTTTATAATATTAGAAAATATGTATCAGTTATGATAAAATATTTATGAGGCATTGACTCTGAATTACTAATTATTATTTTAAAAAATATTTTTAGTTGGAGATGGACAAAATACCTTTATTTTATTTATTTCTACATAGTGCTAAGGATCAAACCCAGTGTCTCGCATGTGCCAGGCAAGTGTTCTACCACTAAGTCACAACCACAGCCCCACTAATTAATTATTTTTAAGTCAGGTCCTATGCAGAGATCCCAAATTTCAATGCATGACTCTCCTTCCCTTTTAGGTAGGAAGGGGCAGATATCCAAATCCAGAGTTTGGATGAACAGTTAGCAAGCTTTAGAAATATTTGAAGGAACCATGGTTACAGAGAAACATGGTTCTAAAATTCAAGGCAAATTAAATGTCCAGTATCATAAGGAGACATAATATGGTATTGAAAAATTGACCCATTAGATGTTTTTTTGGTTTTGTTTTGTTTTTCTACTATTACCACTGTCTTGGAATTAATAGTCAAATTTTATATCATTACATTCTAGACTTGCAATATATATCTAAAACTACCATCTTTTGATGATAAGGCATATGATATAAAATATTTTGTTCAGTTTGCAACAGCACTGGGTTTCCTCAAAATGTATATCCAAATGTTAAAATGTCCAGGAAATCCTATGATTTTCATGTGTTAAAGGCATTTCACATAGTTCTATTCACTTTTTTTTTTTTCGTTACAGATGGAAACAATATCTTTATTTATTTATTATCTTTATGTGGTGCTGAGGATCGAACCCAGTGATCTACACATGCAAGGCAAGTGCTTTGCCACTGAGCCACAACCCCAGCCCCCATTCACTTTTTTTTCAGCTTAATATGTATATTTTCATGGCAACACATGCCATATAACTCTAGCTTTACTAACAAGTAATTGGTAATATTACAATAGTTGTTATATCAACATGGAAAAGCAGCATAACATATTAAGAAAAAGGATTTCCTGGGTTTGAACTTTGCTTCTACCACTTGTGAGTCATACGAACTGGTACAAGTCACTGGAACATTCTTTGCTTCAGTTCCTCAAAGGCAAATAAAATGGGAGTGATAAAAATAATACCAACTAATATCAATGTTATGAGGATTATGTGAAGTAGTAACAAAATGTGGGAAAAGCAATCAGAGGTGCCACTTAGCACACAGTGATCATTTAGTAAATATTAGTTACAGATATTATTACCGTAAAAAACAACAGTGACTCATGTTAATATAAACCATTCACGCTTTCATGAATTTAGTAAGTGACATATACACTGATAGATTGTACACTTACATTTAACCCTGAAAATATTATTGAGCATATTCTATTATAGAGATTAGACCCTTTAAAATATATTAATTTGTAAATACCTAAAGAGCAGATAGTGGAGCCCAGGAGATGTGGCAAAGTTCTAAAATGTTTAGGTGACAGGCCTCTGATGAGGATCACTGCCAGGATGGTGACTAGAAGACAGTAATGACAACATGATAAGTACCAGCGAATTAACCAGTTGTGTTCACTCATTAGCCCTGTGTTGAAAGTTATTGAATTTTCAAAACAGGAAAAAAATCACAAATTAGATGAGCCTTCAGGATCACTTGCTGAAAATGTCAAGAATGTGAGACTTCTGAGAGTCCAGAGTTATTTATATAGAGACTTATGTGAAGGTCATTATCTTCATTAAACTCAAAATGTCCAACTTTTGCTCTGGAAACTTTGATCTTGGTTTCCTTGTTTGTCGCTATACCTATGGGCTCAACAGAAGAGTCTCAAGTGCTTCCGTGCCAAATAACAACTATTACCTTGACCAGTAAATTTACAGACATAATACAGAACATGGTATTTTTGTTACTCAAAACACAACTGCTAGTGATGAAAGTTTTTAATGATAGTATGAAAGCCATTATTAGATTTTGCAAATTAAAATTTAATAACGATTTGCCTAAACCATGGTTATTTCACATACTTAGTCTAAATCCACATGCAGTCATGTGCTGCATAATGACATTCTGGTTAATGAAGGATAGCATATATGACAGGGGTCCCACAAATTAAACCATCTAATGATGTCGTAGCCATCTCAGCTTGTGTAAGCGCATGATAGTTGCATGATGATGAAATTGCCTAGTGACACTTTTCTCAGAGCGGCCTCCTGCTGTGAAGCAAAGTGTGGCTCTAATTATTATAAACACAATAAGAATCTTTCCATTATTTTGAGAATTATGGATTTAAAATAAATGTTAATTATTCACAATGATAAAACCATACTATTATATCAATGCAGAAATGGCAAAAATCACACAGACTTTAGGATGAACATGGAATATACTTTGTGTCCACAATCAAGGTTTCCAGTGGTCCTTTTAAAGTATAACAAGTAAAGCTTTATTTTCACATCTTGTACAATACTTGGATGAAAAAAGCACTCCTGATGGTGAATTCTTTTGAGACTGACATCTTGTGGAAAGGCTTCCAAAAACTGAGTTTTAGGTTTCTTTCTAAGGTAGACATTTGAGTTTTTAAATAGGTTTATTTTTTTCTTCTTGACCCACTGCCTTTCCCCTCACCTTTCTGATCCCCACACCATGCCCTACCCAGGGCCACTGATTTGAGACAGGTATCCTTGGGAAGCCAGGCCCACAGCAGAGACCAAAGACAGCACCAGCTCACTGGACTTGTTCATGAGCATAAAGTACACTTGGAAGTAATGGAAGAAAGTCTTGCTGGAGGCCTGAAAGCTCTCTTCTCCTCTACTGAGCAGCCCTTAGGACAAACAGAGAAGCATGTGTTTCCAGCTTCCACACATATACCCTCCTCTGACATGAGTGGGGGATGGGAAACCTATGCCTCTCAGTCTATACCATTCTTAACTTTCACATGATGATGTGCCGAGTGTGACCATGTGTTTTTCAGTGACAGACTTCTTCAAGCAAAACTATCCATTATTACATGTGTCCATTTGGGGAATGGACTGAAAACAGATACAATCAAACGAATGAATCCGAGAGGAGACCAATAGTTAAATGTTTTTATCTCGGACATTTTTTTTTTCTATAAATTCCAGAGATGAATTCTTGCCCGAAAAATGAAGACATAATATCAATCTACAGAGATCACTTTGTGAGGCTGAAGTCTGAATGAACTCCTACCCATTTCCAGCATAAATATCCAAGTACAAACTGAGCATTAGTTATAAAACACCGTGGGGAAAGATTTAGAGGAAAGAAAAAAATGCAGTTCTTTTATTTTCAGTGGAGAATGCTGAACCAGCATGTACTGGTCAGGGCCAGTGTTCAGAAGCTTCCACCTGCTTGGTTCCTTGGGATTCTCTTCATTCTTCTCCAGCCGGGGGAGGGGGCTCGCACAGCTTGTACAGCCTAGAAGAGGCACAGGTAAGTTTGACAGCTGCCCACTGTATTTTTCTTACCTAAGATAACTTTATTGGTATAACAAATACATTGAAAGTAATTATTTTTGGTTCTAGGAGTCAAGGTCGCATTGTTTACTTCACTAAGCATAGCATATGAATAAGCAAACTCTAAAATTTTGGTTCTGTGATTTAGAAAACCAGGTTTCTTTGCATCTCTCAATGGCTACTGATTATGCCACACTGCATTTTAAAAACCTGCTGTTCTGTTCAAGTGCTGCCAATCCAAGCCTCCTTAGCTTGCTGGTAGTAAAAATCTATTCTCTGAATTTCAGGAGGTAATATTATTATAATTGCCATCACCTCTGTCATTATGAATATCTTGTTTACAGGAAGACAGCTCTTATCTCACAGGGATCTGCTGGTTTTCTGACCAGTTTTGAAGTTAACTGCATTTTGGACTATGCCTGAGGTGTGGATGTGAATAATGGCCTGACATGGCAGATTCCTGAGGCCTGAATCTCAAAGGCACATTAGCTGGGGTTCCCTAAGGACTTGCCACCTGGTTCTGCCATCTATCACTTACCTGGTCAGTGGATTCTAAAGTGGGTCAAAGAATCCACATTAACTGTGGAGATGCCTGGAGATGCTCCCCTTTGAAGCCCAGGTCTAGTTGTTTGAGCACTAACAAAAAACTCCGAGGAACTAGCTAAGTTTACACAAGTTCCAGTCTCTACATTCTTTTTAATACTTGAATCCTAATTCTAGAACCAAAGTAAAAGTGAACATGATGGCTGCCAGATAACCCTAACTCTAGTGACCTCAAGGCCATGTGCATTACTTTCAGTGTATCCTGAAAGAAGAGAGGCTGAACTAAAGTGGTTGGATATTGGACTACACCTGTTACCTCTAATAATGACCAAGGTTCCACACTCGTCAAACTGCAGAGCTTAAGCTAATGACTTTAAACGCAGAATCCAACGCTACCCCTTCCTCTGTTGTTTATTTATTTCTGGTGCTAAGGATTGAACCCAGGGCTGCATGCATGCTAAGCACACACTCTACCTCTGAGCCACACTCTGAGCCCCAACTTTTCCCTTTCTCAAAAGCAGTCCAAACTCAGGGCTAGCTATAGTGATTCACTCCCATTTACAGATTACGTTGAACACAGCGTAAATGCATTGTTAACCTATTTAGTAAATTATAAATTCTCTCTCCTTTGACATTTAATTCCATGCTAATTCTAAATCAATGGGTAAGAAGGAGAAAACTTTAATTTAGAGTTGTAAATTTGGTTAACAACATGAACTTTCTTAGGAAACGCAGAATGTATTATCTTTGAACGTACTTCAAGTCGGGAAGGTGGTTCATGTTCTATATGTTATTTCCATGGAAGAGATGAATACTGAACTAAGGACATGTCACATTATAAAAGCTTATTTCATCTTTCCTGGAGAAGAGAATGCATTAAATTGAGCTGATGTACTTGAAATGTTCTTTTGCAGCTGAAAGATAGGGTGTTACTTCAAATTGCTTTCTCAGGACTGAAAAAAAAAATCGGATGATCAGAAGGTTCTTTTCCTCCTTAATTTCTGTCCTCTTATTTCCCTGACAGGGCTGCCTAAGGAGTAAGAAAGCACAATGGCTTTTACTCAGGTAGAAAAGAAAGAGGAGGATGGGCGGTGGACGTCCTGCCCCATGAGATCTAGGCTGTGCCACCACATCCCATTACCTTGCTCTGCACGTTTGCACAGAATGTAACTAATGCCACTGGGTAGATGAGTCTGAAATGTCTGCCTTGCAAATTGGAGAAAAGGCTACTCTCTGTGATCACCTAATGAAATAATAGCTCTGGGTTCTGTGGAGCTGGACAGATTCAGCTTCTGAGGCTTCTTGGAAGAGACTCAGGGTTATTTGAGTTCAGCCACATTTGTAATGGAAATTGTTGAGCTCTGGGAATTCAGAGCAGGCAGATGAAGTTTGGAAGTAAAATGTAATAGGTAAAGAGTTGGACTCCAACTCGGCTCTGAGGCATTTGTGTTTTGGCAGCTAAATTGTTGGGCACCGGGAGGCCTTTTTTTGCCCAACATCTGGGGCCCTTCCTGTATTCTCATTACACTCATGCATACCAGTGCCCTGCAGGAGTGAGGTCTGTTCCTGGTTCCACTTCCTCCTATTCCTGTTTGGGCTCAGGGAGCCATTTTTGGAGCTGGTGATTCAGTCCAAATTCAAATTAGCAGAGAGAAGAATTTTCAAACTTTATTCTATAGATCAGGCTTTTCATCTTTCTTTTCTTTAATATTTATTTTTTAGTTGTAGTTGTAGTTAGACATAATACCTTTATCTTATTTATTTATTTATCTGTGGTGCTGAGGATTGAACCCAGGGCCTCGTGCATGCTAGGTGAGCACTCTACAGCTGAGTCACAACCCCAGCCCATGCTCTTTATCTTTCTATATAGCAAAAATATAAGATGTATTAATGGAGACGACAAAGTAAATGCCTCTTCTGAGGTTCAAGTACCAATGGTACTCTATCTCAAGACAATTCTCTTTATCCTACAGATTGGAAAATAGAATCTCAAAAAACGAAGACCTCACTAAGATCACATAGCAGGATCTGGGACTCCTCAAAAAATCACTTTTCTTCTTTTCTTCATTTTTCACCACTATAGTACGATGCGACCTTCCCACTAAACAAATAAAGTCTTTACAGCAAAATACTTCTGGATTTTGTGACATAACAGAAAACAATATGCCACAACTAGTGGTCTGACATTTGGAATGACATATTTGGTTGTTGATGAAAATTTGATAATTGCTTTGCAAAGCCAATGCAAACGTGGTAGCCAAAGAGAGGAAGTCTGCCCCCAACCCCTATTTCAGTGCCATTCAATCACAACACATTCATCTGATCGCCCAAACCTATGTTTTATTTCCATTCTATTGGACTGCAAGCGCCTGTAGCACATGGAATGCTTCTCATCCACCTTGATATCCTAAAAACAAAAGTAGTTTCTGATACGTTTCAGACCCTGATTCCTAGAGGGGAGTATGCAAAATGTGATGAAGCCAAGATGTCCAGGAAACCTGCTCCCAGGAGTAGACTTTCCGTTGTCACTACTCAGAACCAACCTACCTCAGCACTATTAAACCCTAACACTCCTGTCTCCAGCATTCTGATTCCAGAAATTATTACATTCACTCTTTCTATGGTGTGACCACAGCCACTTCCTCCTTTTTGAATTCCAGAACAACCAGCTCCTATTTTCCTTCCACGTTCCCAATTGCTCTCCTTTGACTCTGTCACTCCTGTTCCTTTGCTTTCTCTTCACTATTGGCATTTCTCTGGTGGGTTCTGGATCTTCTCTCATCTGTTATCTACTCACCATGGCAATAACATTCACTTCTATATCCTCACTGACTTTCTAAATATTGATGACTCACAAGACCACAGACAGCTCCACCTATTTGCCTCTCCTTGGCTTTGGACCAGTGTGTTGAACTGCCCACAAATATAACCCACATGAAAGTCCTTGTGATCCACTATCTCAGGGGAAATAACCACCAACCCCTTATTACCCAAGTCAAAGATTTTATAGTCACTCTGGAATATTCCATTCCCCTATCTATCTTCATTCAATTTGTGCCCAAAGACTAGTAAGTCTGCCTTCTAAGCACTGTTCTAATCCACCCTTCAAGCACAGGGGTTCTCAATAGTCTCCTTTCAAACTTCTATCCTCAGTCTTAGAAATAGACCCTTCTAATGTCACCTGAGACAAATTCTAAAAGTCAGATCTTCTTCCAAGTAGGAAGATTATTGATGCTTCCCTACTGTCTTCAATTTAAGATGAAAACTCTTCAGTATTTCTGGTTCGTCTCTTTCTGATCTGGCCCCTGCCTGCATCTCCAGCCTTGCTTAACATTATTCTTATATCACTTTCAACTGTCAGTCACACAGACTCAAGTATGGTTCTCAGAATGTAATGTTTTCTCTGGGCCCCCGTGTCTAGACCAGGAGCATTCTGTGACCTTCCTTCTCCCTCCTTTGGCTGCACATGATTCTTCCATGTTCTCATGACAATTTATGCTCAGTTTGTGTCACAGTTATTATCACATGTAGTGTACTATGATGGAGACGGGTTGGGGGATTTGAACCAAAGACCATCTCAGGCAGAGAGAGCACACTAGACTTTTGTGAAGGTAACTTCACTACCCTAGCTTTGCTGTGGGTGGTCTGAGCTTGAGAGACAAATGTGTCTTTCAACTCACTGCCTTTGAGGCTGGAGTGCTGTTCCAGCTGAGGAGGAATGCCAGACCTCTGTGCTCAGAATTCTCTCTGCACCCCACCTCCAAGGACAGCTTCTCACATTCCACCTTTGCTTACAATGATGTTTTCCTCACCAAGCCTACTTAACTAAAAGCTTCTTGAGGGCCAGAGCTACTTCTATTTCAAGTTTACATTTTTCATGAGGCATAGCAGAGTGGGCTGCATTTCTTGGGTCCTAAATAGATGCTTGTAGAATGAATAAAAGAGTAACTAAAATCCATTTTTTTTTAATTACTCTTAATCTCTCTCTCTCAGGGTTATTATTTTAACTTTATAGCTGGCTAATTTTATTGTGCTTCATTTCAAGTATTACATAAACCAATAAAGAAGAAAGTGAGTTCATCAGTTGCTTTTCTTGTGTTTGGCTTGCATATCGGCTTATTGATCAGGATGCTAAAGTCTTATCCCAGACTCACTGTTTATTAGTGCTTATAAGATCTAGCTAAAAACATCCTGTAAGCCATTATCTTGTTTTTTTTTTTTTTTATTGGGATTTTAACACTTCAGTGGGTCTGTTATATAATATACCATGTGTGCTCAAGGCATTGAGGAGACAAGGCTTATGTGAAATGATTCTTCAGCAATAGAAACTGGGAGATTCTAATCTAATCAACTGTGGAAGATAATGATAACAAGACGAGGATTAAACAGAGTTAGGAGTTAGCAATAAAAAGAAATGCAACTATAAAATGAATGCTCCATCCATTTCAGGGTGGGGGATATGTTTTTCCTTTTCAAAGAAATTTCACTTCCCATGTAGTTTTTCAGAATGAAATATAACTTCATAAATGCTGCAGTCTTCATTCTTGCTCTGGTAATGGTGTTGCAAATAAAAACAAATAAAAAAAGTGTCTTGTCCATGACAGTGTTTCCAGGAGCCTACTTCCTGTCCAAAGGCAATTGTATAAAAGCAATTGCATGTAGAAGAAATTAGTTAGCTTTGTCCCACTCCAAGATAGATGACTGCCTACCCTAATCACCAGGGAAACTGAGCGGAAAACATTTTTTCTGTGGATGCTAACTATGTTCATCTGTCTTAAAGGTAGACTAGAGTCCTTTCTTATGATGATGCGTGAACTGTGAATATTTAGCATCTCAGACGATAGCCCTGTTAATATGCTTACTCATTCACATGTTCTTGAAATCAGTTTAGATATTGGATGTCTATGGTGAGCAAAGGAATAAAATCTACAAATCCATACTGACTCCTGAAAATTCCTATTCAGGTTGGGCACAGAAACATGTCAACAAAATACCACAGCATAATATAATAACATAAGGGCTATCATACAGCAATATACAAGATACCTAGGGCAACCAGAGAAAAGGAACACAAATAAGACTACTAGCAGGAGATGATAACTAAAGTAGATTTTGTGGGTTAAGTAGGAGTCTTCCATATAGACACAGATAGGAAAGACAATCCCAATAGAGGAAAGAATATGCATGATAATAGAAGGATAAATGAAAATGGTATGTTGGTTGTAGGTCCAGTTAGTTGTATCCATGTGGACTTTTTTTTTTAAATTCATAATGGAATGTGCAAAATAGGATGGTATCCATTTAATTATGATCATTTATAACTAATCACACTTAGTGGCTGGGTGTTTCTGAGGTCAATCCCCAGAAATACTATAAGTACGATAGTGGGCATATCCTAAAGTAGGTATATTAGCCATGCAGAACAAAAGCTGGTGAACCCTCTGGAAAGAGAAGGCAGGGATGTACTTACCTTGGAGCTGATTGAGGGGTCCGGTCTCTCACTCCCAAATTCTTTGCTGTGTTCTGAACTCTTGCTCCCTGAAGTCAGGAAAATCACTTTTAGCTCTATACTGTATTACTATTTATTTAAATATCATTAATATCTGAATGTAGAATACTTATTCCAACAATATATTCAACATCAAGAGAGACTGTATAAGGACTAAGAGAAATCACCACCTGAACATCTTTGAAATTAATGCTTTTAAGAATCAAAATATGGCATGAAGGTGTTGTAAGGCTGCGCATGGTGGTATACACGTGTATTCCCAGTGATTCAGGAGGCTGAGCCAGGAGGATAGCAAGTTCAAGGTCAGCCTCAGCAATTTTCCAAGGATCTAAATAAATTAGGGAGACCTTGTTTCTAACTAAAAAATAACAAGAAGTGGGGGTATGCCTCAGTTGTAGATCCCTTGGGTTCAATTCCCAGTAGCAAAGTGGGGGGGGAGAAAATATGCTATGCTGTTCAAAATGATTAATAATTATTTCTAAAGACATCTGAATCATTCAAATAAGTTTAACAGCTTCCTGTTCAACATCCCATCTATGTCTTTATTCCTAGACACAATAATTAATAACTTCAAATGCTGAAAATAGGAAACAAACAAGGTAGAAATACCTGCTGTCCCACCACCTTCTTGGAATAGTCAGGCATCTGTTTTTCCTGAATAGTTGACTATTTTAAACTTAATAATATTTAGCAAGAAAATGCTTTCTGAAATAGTTCTAAAGCAATTCCTGGAAAAGCCATATCAATATGGATCTCTGAAGTTTAAGAATTTCATCTCAAAGTTTATAGTTTAAATACGATCTTCTTCTTTTCTTTGGTTTTGGGACCAGGGATTGAACCCAGGGGCACTCAACCACTAAGCTATCCCTAATACTTTTTGTGTATTTTATTTAGAGACAAGGTCTCACTGAGTTGCTTAGGGCCTTGCTAAGTTGCTGAAGCAGACTTTGAACTTGAGATCCTCCTGCCTCAGCCTCCTGAATTGCTGGGATTATAGGCATGTGCCACAGCACCAGACAAATATGATCTCCAGGAATAAAAAAGTTTCTAAAACTGGTCAAGTTCATGAATAAAGTTATAATTACTGTCCAGTTCCTAATGGAAATTAGTTACTATAGAGAACAAAACAGCAGAGTTTTTTTGGATGGGCATAGCTAAAGGAACGGTGCTTAAGAAACTGCGAAATTGGAGCTGGGGTTGTGGCTCAGTGGTAGTGCGCTTGCCTAGCCCATGTAAGGCACCGGGTTGGATCCTCAGAACACATAAAAATAAATAAATAAAGGTAGTGTGTCTATCTACAACTAAAAATATACATTAAAAAAAAAGAAACTGAAATGTTCTAGCTTCCAAATACTGAACTAAGTCAAGGGAAGAGAAAAAGGGAGAAAGAAAAAAAAAAACACCTAAAAAAAATTCTCTTAAGATGGACCTAATAAAAAGGCAAATAGGGAAACAGCGATGGTAGTGGTACTGGTGACAAAAGACAGGACGGATTAAAGAATTGCAATTAAGTAGCTAAAACTTTCCACTTTAAAGTGATTTTAGATTTAGAGAAAATTTATAAAAATAGAACAGAGATTTTTCTTCATGCTTCATCCTTTTTCTCCTAATGTTTACCCTTTACTTAATCACAGTACAATGATAAAAACCAGGAACTGTATTGGTTCAATACAATTAACTATATGGCACATCTGATTCCAGTTCCATATTTTCCCCAATTTCCTTTTCCAGAAACCAATCCTGGATCCCCTACTGCATTTTGTTTCATATCTGCTTTGTCCCCCTGACAGTTCCTTAATATCTCCTTGTGACCTTAATTAACAGGCTTGTCATTATTTTGTAGACTGTCTCCACTTATGTTTATCTGATGTCTTCTCATGATTAGGTAGAGAAAAAGAATTTTTAAAAAAATAATAAAATCACAGAAGTGATGTTGTGCCCTTCTCTGTGCATTATATTTGGGGACATATGATGCCAATAGATCTTAATACCTGGAACATTAACTTTGATCACTTGACTTAAGGGGCATCTGCCTTATTTTCCCACTGCAACATTCCCACCTTGCCTTCGCAGACTTAACAAAGACTCCGGGAAAGAGGATATGAGACTTTGCAAACATCCTTCTTCTCTTTGAACTTTCACTCACTATTTTAGCCTCCACTGGTATTTTTTTTTTGTCTGCAACAAAATTAGTGCAGTGCTTATGAACTGGGATTCTGTAAAGAAGGATTATTTTCCCCAAATTATTTAATTATTCAATTATATATTTAACTCAGCATGGACTTGGATATATTGGTTTTACTGTATGAGATATCCAATATTTTTATTAATTTTTTTTTACTCAAAGCATTCTAGTTTTGACTAATGGGGGCTCTTTCTGGTTGCTTCTTGTACCCTTTTGATATACACTCATTATGTTTTAATTTTAGTGTGTCTTTATTTTCTGCACCTCAAGATATTCTAGGTTCATTTTCTCTGTCTCAGTTGGTAATTCATCACTTCTCCAAGGGCCTTGGCTCTTTTCATTGGAATACAGTATTTAGAAACCAGAATTTGGATACAGGATGTGCTCATTACTGTTGATGATACAACTACTTCTAGGGCTTTCCAGAGGACGGGGCTTATTTATTAACACAAACATACTTGAACACCACATTCATTCCTACATCTGTTTGTGTCTGTGTGTGTTGTGTGTATGGACCCATTAGTCATACTGATATTGCTAATTCCAACTTAGTACCACAGGGTTCATTGTAGATTCCAGCCTTCACCCTTTCCTGATATATGACTTCTTTTTCAGTCACTGAGGGTCTGACTTCTCATTACTTATGACATCTTTACTTATTTGTTCAATCCTAGTGTACACATAAATTGGTTTATGAATTTTTAAGTCATATCCATGTGAAAAACAGATTCACTAACAAGACCCCAGTATTCACATTTAATTCTTTGTCTATAGTGTCATAATATTCCATTAAGCAGTGAATAGAAAGATTTGCTTTCTTTAAATGTGATGCTCATCATGCTGAATACATCATGTGGCATGTTTTACCTTGAACCCATCTATATAATTCTTCATATATTCAACTTGGATTCTTACACACTCATTCATGTTGCTCCCTTTGCCTAAATGCTCTCCCTAATACTCTTTTCTCTGTCTGCATTACATTTTTCTCTGAGATGCAAAAAAAAAAAAATATCACCTTCATTTGCTAATAACAGGTTATTCAGTAAATCACTTAATGCTTTGAGTGCATTAAGTCTATCGATTTATAGAATTCTCATTACAACACTATGAGGCAAGTGCTATTAATATTCCTGTTATAATAGTGAAAAAATTAAGAAATAAAGAAACTAAAACTCTTGTCCCAAATCACAGGATAATAAACAATGGAGGTGAGACTCCAACTGAGGTGGCTTGGCTCAAGAATCTGTGCTCTTAGCCATGATCAAATATTCACCTTGTGTGAGATGCCTTTTCCAATCTTCCCAGCTACAACCATTACTGAACAAACCTCATTTAGCACTAACTTTATACTAGGTATTATTCTAGGAAACTCTGATACCATAATGAATAAGTCTCAGTTTCCCAATTATTGAGGGACCATGCTCCCTGTTCTGTATCCTGAAAGACTGAGGTTTTACACTTGCATGTGGGTCGCTGTATCCTGGCAATTTGCCTACATATTACACTATGAGACTAGGCCAGGACTTTATCACACCCAAGTCTTTTCTTGGTGACTAGTAGGATCCTTGATACCAAAGGTATGAAGACAGAATATGTTGGAATCCCAGCTTTTCCTAAAAAGATCAAAAACAATTTTTGCATAGGCTTCCTAAAAGGACATTTGGTATGCATATTTTCTAGCATGGAAAACTTTAATAAGTTTATAATGAAAATAAAATTTTAGACCTCAATATTTTCAGATCACCTGGTTATATAAAAGAGCTGCTTATGGTTATCATAAATATTATCAAAAAGTGCAAGTTATATGGTCACTTTCCCTTCTCTCTTGTATCCTTTCTTCAAACTCAAGCAACAAATTAAAATACCATGTGTACAAAATATACACATGAAAATAATACTGAAATTATAAATAAGAATAAATCATGTCAAAAAGTTCATTTCTAGAAAGAAACTGAAGATCTTAGCTTATTCATTATATTGTTTATTATGTATTGCAAAATTTCAATATATAGCTAACAAACTATTATATCTTAAAATATAAAAATTCGAATTGATAATGAAATAATTCAAATACTTCAAGTTAGAGTAAAGATAAAAACTTTTCTAACCTCTCTATCTCTGAAAAGTTGAGTCTAAATGGCTAAATATTTTTCTCTGAGGTTGGAAAGCAAAAAGGACAGAAAATCCAAGTTCTAGCCTTGATTTAGATTTGTATTCTAACTGCTCAGATTCTAAGTGTGTAAGAATTGGCTTGGAGACTGGATCCCGGCCAATAAACCCACCATGTACTTTGGCTGAATACTGAAAAGAAGATTGGCCTCAGAAAGAATACTATAGAAACATCTGCTTGCTTTCCCTAAAAGAGAGCCCCAGGCTCTAAGATCTTCCACAAAGAAGTTTTAAATCAGTTATTTGGGATGCATAACTTGGTGCTGAGGAATCAGCAAAAAAAGGAAGAAAGTATTCTAAATGTATTTATTTTAAAAAATAAGGAGCAGGAAAGAGTGATAAATACCGGAAAAATAATGCAGCTCAGAAATCAATAAAGACATTACAAGACACTGCATGACTTTTCAGTATTTTAAATGATATTCCAGATATCATGTATTAATACTGTATAAATATACCATGTGTTAAAGAGCTGTGCACCATGAAATGAGTTATCAGGCTTATAAAACATTGTCTTTACTTTATCTCTATTTCCATTTTCAGTTTTAGGAAGTTAAAGATATTAGAATCATGGCTATTCATTTCCACAATGTAGGAATGTATATGTAGTGACTTAACCTCCGTAGTGGAATATTCTAAAGAAAGATAGATTCTTGCCATATGTCACAATTTTTGAGATGGCTCTTCCAAGTTCTCCTAGAAATTTACTCTAAGAGCGACACAATAAAATAAAATTAGCGATGCAAATACAATTCTGATGTGACTAATCATAAGTTTATTTTGATTTACTTTTTAAAGGATAATTTGCATATCTGCTCTCCAAAAATTCTTCCTGAGCCCTCTGGCAATTTGCATCCGTGTTTGTCCTTTGCCAGCTGGACAACAGTTTATCCCATACTTCTGGTAGACCTAACCTTTACTTAGTAAATCCTTTGACCTTCTAAGATCTTGGTTGTCAATCTTCAGTTCTTGGGTTCTTACCCAGAAGTATCATGTATATGCCCTCACTGTACCTGATCTCTACAATGCAGGTGCCAGCTCAGTGGTAATCTTTTGTTGATTTTTTTCATTGGCTTGGTTGACATTCTGTACTGTAATCTTGGGAGCAAGCCCAGAGGGATTTATGTGTCTGCTTAGGAGTTATACACTAAATCTTTGGTAAATACAAGCAGTTATAATTGCAAATGCATACCTTAAGAATTAATCACTCACTATCACTGGACAACTCGAACCAAAGCAGCAAATAAAGAGATTTGCTATTGTAGTAGCTTAAAAGTGATAGAAAAATGTAAAAAAAAATAGTATCTTTTGATTTTTTGTCATTCTGTAGGTTGTCTTTTCTTATAGATTAAGCTTATTTCCTAATTAGTAAATTGAAATTAGTCCATTTTTTATTTTGATTTTTTTAAAAGAATTTTACAAGTTAAAAACTAAGCTACTACTCTTTAAAAAAAAAGCTATTGGGTGATGGCATACAAAGTTCATTCTATTAATTCAGAGAGTACATTCTCAACTATGAATATTCCAGTGACCTAAACACAGCCCAAAGGCAGTTTATTTATTCTCTAAAGCAAAATTTAAAGTCAGCACTTTATCCTTGAAATAAAACATATACTTCTCAGCATAGCATGGAAGTCTGAGAGATCACCAGAAGTATGTAATAAGTAAGCAGATTGCTCAATTTTTTCCATCTTTTTTCTTGCCTGTCCCTCTCTCAATCCATTCCTCAAGATTTACTAAATCACGTAACAACTTCCAGAAAATTCCAAATGTCCTTTATCTCGTCCCTTACACAAGCCCCTAGTCCATTCCTGTCCTAATTTACATAGCCAATTCCCTTTACTCCTTGAGATTACTGCATAGACCCCTTTTTTCCCAGGGTTGTCCAAAATTCTTGGAGAACACTTACCTAAGAGTCTGTATCAAGTTCTCATCCCACGGGATTGCTTCTCACCCACGACTTACCTTACTAAGTCATGTGTCTGGAAAAGTGCCCTACACATCAAGGCACCAGTCAGATACCTGACCTGATGAATGAACAAAGGAACCTTCAAACACAGGGAGTTCCAAAACTTCCCTAAACAGGCATTAGACTCACCTGCTTCCGCATCACATCTGTAGCCTGCATAATGTAGCGAGGAGGCAGCCCATGGCTCCTGGCTAGAATGATGGCTTGCTCCAGTGTCACACTCAGGGTGCACCTGTGTGCCAAGGCAAGAGGAAGTGAGAACTCACTGGTTTCTAAAACATTCTTCCAGATAGTGTGAACTATTGATTACAAGATCGGAAATCCACCAAAATCAAAGTGCTAGACAATGAACCACTGATTTCTCTATCCAGATTACCTGAAAAAAGGTTATAGAGTCACAATTAAGAATTTAAAATTGAAACGAACCTATAATGAGTTGTTTGTAAAAGAGCTCCTCCAAAGGAAATTAAATAACTTTTATAATTAACTATTATTTTTATTGATATTTTACGCAACTTAGAAGAAATGAATTTGTAATGTTTATCATTCATGTCTACATATTGATAGTTACTGCATTTTAACACATGCACAAATATCTTAGAAAAATAAGCAGTGAAATTCACTGTTTCACTAAGGTCAAGTTTGATTTTAAAAAATTGTTTTTTGGACCCAATCTAAAACATTATTTGTAAAAGTTTTAAAAGAAATTTAAATTAGTTATATGGAAATATAATGCAAGAATAGCCCTGAGAAATGTGTCCTAACCAGAAGTGAGGGGACAGGTCAGTCTTTGTTCTTTTCTTTCCACTTAAGCTTTCTTTTATACCTTTTCTCCACAGCAGCCATTAAAGCCCAGAATTTAGTTGTTAGTATTTTCAGATACTGGCCTCTGGATTGTTTACGGATATTTTTGCACACACTTTCAAAAAAAAATGCTCTTTGAGATGTTTTTCCTAAAATTTGTATTAGTGGATTTTACTTCCTTTCTTGACTTGTTGATAGTTTGATTACAGTCTTTTCTCCACTCTGGCACTGACCCTTGTATGGTTTGGTGTCCTACTCATGTATTTTTCCAGATCAGTCCAGTATTTTCTTCTATAAATAACAGTAATAAGCAACAAATAGCAGTGAAATTGCTTCTGAGTGAGGAATATCTAACTCCTGATCCTTGGTTATGAGGCTGTAACACAAAAAGTCCAATACATTTGGTAGATTTTGATACTGATGAGTTGAGAAAAAGAGGGATTTAAAACATTACTGTTTAAATACTAGAATCTGACAAAATATGAAAAATAAAAATATATATATATATATATATATATATATATGAAGAAACAATGTTAAGTTTATTGATTGCTCAATGACTTGAAGGGCATCATTCCTCATTACCATTACGGAGAATTCTTTGGAAAACCTTAAATAATGAACTTCTCGTTGTACACGATGTTCACGAATATTTAGTGTATGAGTCTTATAGGAATGCATGTTGTTTTCTGTGCACATTCTGCAGAAGAATCCATGCCAATGAAGGCCAAGCAGAGTAACTGACAGTTCAAGTTTAAGAAATCAATTTTCTACAAAGCATTTAATTGCCTGCCTACTCAACAGACCGTAACCTTTTTCTCCTCTGTAAGGTCTCCTCTACTTCAACTTTAAATCTTTATTGATCCTAACATTTTAATCAATAATGCTCATTACACCAGCTGAATGACACTAAGGAAAAAAAATCTTTACCTTTTTCTAATCATACTGAAACATGTCTGTGCTTTCCTGGAAAAACATGACTCCCCCTACTCTACTTATGACAAACACTTACACACTATGAGGGTATTTTAACAGGCAGCCTATAATTTTTTATCCATTTTCTTAATCCTTTCAAACTGACCTATTCCTCCCTTCCTCAAGCTGCAGTAAACAGCAGTACAGCAGCAAATTATCTGCCAGAAACTAAAAAGATTTTACTACGATCAGAAAATCAATATGGCCAGTAACATGGTCCTTGACAGGGTACCTCAAAGTGTCACTGCTTTAGAACCAAAGCACATCACCTCCCAGAAAAAATCCACCATCAAATGGATACATATATTTTCCTTCCAAAATATCCAAAATGAATAGCTGCACCTACATTTGTCCTTTCATATTAAATACTGTGTATATCCAATTAGGTCCCAAGATTGTCTTGAAGTTTTTAAAAATATGTGAAAGTGACAAAGATGTAAATGTTGGAAATATTTTCTGTATTTGATTCAGGATTGCCTAGTATTTCCACTCACAGCATCACAAATATTCTATCATCTTAAATTAAGCACACAAATAAAAGCCTAGCAGTAATCCACAACTTTGCTGTCAATAGATCATTATTTGCCTCATAACCTTTTACCTTCTTTCAACTGTATCCATCTGAATGCCTAGAAGAAGAAAAAAATCGGCATTTGCAAGACATATTTTGATTCTGGTGTTCTCTAAAAGCCTCTAGATCCAGAAAATGGCACATGGCTTTTCAATGGCATTTAAATGTATACTCAAGAGTCTGGTTTTATAAGGCATCATTTGATTTTATAGGTTCTTTAAATTACCAGAGAGTCTGATCTAGTAACCTTGGGCAAGAGTGTGAAAGGAACATTATTAAGGCCAGGAACTCTAAGCAAATCCCATTCAATACGAAGTTTGTTACCTGAATAGACAATTTCCTTTCTATTATTATCCCTAGTTTCATATTAGACAGTTAAATTAAAATTCAAGTAAAGTTATATTTTTATATCATCTGGAAAACATGGACCTTCAAAACTTTCAGCTCCCTCTAGCTGCTATGTCAGTAAAAATTTTTGGACAACTCCTTTCCTAGATGTTGCAAAAATAATAGAATAAATGTCACAGACTAGCATTTATTCTTCCTAAAAAGACATACATATTCACTGAGAAAAGTTTTCCCATAATGTCCGTAATAAGACATTCTAAGTACTGGCTCTGCCCTGCACTTGTGAGGAAGCGCACTTGATGGAATGATAAAATTGCACAGAAATTGTTCATTTCCCCACAGAAAGGAAAAGAAAAGAGTCAATGTATCTGTGCTTCTCATTAATATATTTTCTTGACATACTTCATATTGAGAATAGAGCCCAAATCACTCAGAGTTAACATAGTTCAATGATAGATGAAACCTAGAGTTAATGGGTCCAATTAAATGTAAGACACCTCAACTCAGCAATTCTATGAAAGAAAAACAAAGAAGTACTTTCTTATTCATTTAACAATTTATATATATATAAAATTTATGTCTGTGTGTATATATATTTTGTGTATTTACTTTCCTGATAAAACATAACATATACACACACATTTAATATATATTTTATATATATATTTTCTCCCCCTTGGGCCTACTTTGTACCTACAAATACCATTAGGTGCTGGCAGAAGTGAATTCACAGCAAAGCTAAAAATGCTTGGTTTTTAGAGCCCCTTACTTGCACAGATCTTTTTTCAAAGTTCTTGTAGGGGCCTTGAAGTATACTCTCAGTCACATGCGAAATTTGCAAAAGCAAAATGATTTAACTGCAAGGTTATAATTGCTGTCTTCTTTGCATCCTAGCATCTTTCTGTCCTGATGTGTAGTGTTTAAATGGCTCTTGGTTATTTCTGGAACTGAGCTAAGAGAAGTTGAGTTAGGGATGCACTGAGGATAGGTTTATTGGGGCTTATTTATGTGATTTATAGTTACTTCTGTTTATAGTTAGGTTATTGTGTCCTGGTGTAGGAATGGCTTCCAAAACACTCCTACTGCTCACTACACAAAGTCATCCCATTTAAAAGAGAAATATAGGGTCAGAGGTTTTGCCTATGTACTAGGGCCCCCAGGACTACGAAGTATGTGTGGTGGAGAAGAAGCAGGTTGGAAATGCATAAAGCCAGAAACTATTCTCTGCAATAATCTTTCAAACATTATGGCTCAAATGCTAAAGAACTTCAGAGATTTTTCTTTTAAAAAAATTTTTTTGTAGTTGCATATGGATAGCATGCCTTTATTTTATTTGTTGATTTTTATGCAGTGCCAAGGATCGAACGCAGTGTCTCACACATACTAGGCCAGAGCTCTGCCACTGAGCTACAACCCAGCACCAGATTTTTATTTTTGTATTTCACCATAATTTAAAATTTACAAGACATTAGCAATAATGCATTTTGATGTTGAAAGGCTTTCTAAATTCTCAGTAATTTAAATTCAATCATCCATGCTAGTAAAAAGAATAATTTTCTATTCTCTTCATAGAAAATTATAGGACAAAATGGTTATGAGAGTCAATCAGAAACAATGTTACTAAAAATTGTGGGAGGAAAAAGGATAGGAGTGGGTCAGGCAATAAAATAATAAAATATTATTTTTCTAGATTTTGTAATGATTATACTTACAATGCTTATATTTAAACTTTACAGTGCAGTTTTTTTCTAGCATTCTGAGTAAATATTAATTTTCATTTCTACTCTGTTTGATAACTTTCTATTCTTTTTCTTAAAGAGGGCACTTAATTTTAGACCCCCAACATCTCCATTATTCCAGTGAGTCTGCGGTATAACAATGAACAAAGTCAAGTTCCATTCCTTTTGGTAATCAAACTTTAGTAAGACAAAAGAAAACAAAGAAGCCAACAGTATCAGATGGGAATAATTTATCCAGAAAATAATTTTATAGCAGACGATAGACTATAAAGTAAAATGGCACTAATAGAGTGTAGGACGGCAGAGGGAGGTGCTGTTTTGGGGAAAACGAATTCAAGAAGAATAAATGCAAAGGCTCTAAGGTTAATACCTATTTGGTCTCCTCATAAATAAGCATGATGCTCTCTATACACTAGTGAACATACAAAGACAAAGGCAATGAGGTTAGGGAAACAGCCTAGGCCCAAACATGCAGGTCTTGGGGGTCAGAGTTTAGCGTAAGTGGGCTTCTTATTTACTTCTTTGGTTGACATGGAAAGAATTGCAATATTCACATTATGGGATATAAAAAAACAACTTGTTAAGCAAATTTTCAGACTGATTCAGTGTCTAACCTTAACATCATGTCAATACCGAATTCCAGACATCTTCAATTGCTATCCAATGGCAACATTTGCAAAATCAAAGCTCTTCATTCTGATGCTTAAGGTTTCCTACCAACTGACCAACCATCCTCCACCCCAAATCCCTGGATAGCATGCTTACTCCAACCAACCCATAACTTCTGTTTGTAGC